GATTTTCAATGATTTTCACACATAAAATTCAAAGTAAGATGTAGTTATTAAATTACCTTTGTAAATGTTAAGCAATCCTTATCTTGGTCTTTATCTTTGATTTCAAAGTCATAAAGTGCTTTGCCCTGTGGATGGGGTTGATTGAGAGGCTTTATGCACTGGATATAGCTGGCTGGGAAAAAGCCACGGTTTCCATTCAGCTCTCCATGATACCAGTTTTCATCAACTTTCCGTCGCAGAATTATGATGTCACCTTTGTTAAATTTCAGATCCCCAGGTTCTTTACCTTCATACGTGTAAAGAGCTCTTCCACATGGAAGTTGTGATATGTTCTGTGAAGAAAAGAAAATATAACTTAAATACAAATAATTCCACTTTACAATTATGGTCCAATAATGCCTCAATTTTAAGAGCTAATTGAAAGAGCATACAAACCTCTTGGAATCTTAATTTTGTATTGGCAATGAAAGCTACATTTTGATTAAAAAAAAAAAAAACAGTACTTAGTTGTAAGTATTAATTTGCACAGCTTGGTTGCCCATATTCATTAAGCAAAGTTATAGTACCAATAATGAACTTTCTCAGTACATATTTTATAACAGTAAAATGCCTGCAGCAAACCATAATGTATCCCTTGTCACATTTTTGATTTACATTTGTGTATATTCTATTAACGGTTTGGCAAGTATAGCAGATCACAAAATTGTCACTTCTTGTTTTATAGTAAACCTGCAAATATTTATAAATTGTGTATTTATAATTTCCCCATGAGGATATATAGGTAGCACTAAGCAAAACAATAAAGGGAAGATGGATAAGGTGCTGGGTCACGCAAACATATTTCTCGAAAAAAGTTTACTATATACTATTACTGCAGGATAATTTGCAAACAAGACTTGTGCATGGAAGCAAATTTTGGTTCAAACAAATAGTTTTTTCATACAATAAAAGACTAGCTATTGCTGCCCAGTTGATCCAGTGGGGCAACAAACAAACAACAAAGCAGGGGGGATATAGTGTGGCTACCTGCTGGCCACAAGTAGGGGCTATTAAAATGGGCATGACCGTGTGTCTCCCCTCAGCTCCCACCCATGAACAGTGAGTGGAAGCATTAATCATAATAATGAGGGGCATTTAATCCTCCAATTTAGCCCCAAAACATTAGTGGTAGGTGCAGGCTCCAAATGTAATAGCAGGGGGAAAGGGGATTTAATGGGGCTAATAATATATAAGTAAGGTGGACATACATGCCCAAGCCTCTAGTCAATCCTGTCCAATAAAGAGCACTTGCCTACCCCTCCACCACCATATGAAAATTCAAATGTTTCAGGATCCTGAAACATTTGTATTTTGGCATGCTCTTCTAATATATTTATAGTGTGGTTCTTTCATTTTATAGCCCCGCCCCCAAAACATTCAAATTAAAAACATTTTGGCGGGCTTTGATACCATCAGTGTCATGATGTGAGCGTGCATGTGCTGCGTCATAAAAGGGGGCAGAGCTACAGCGGACAGCATCGGAACTGCTGAGGAGAAAAGAGGAACCATTAGGAAAGTCCCCCTCCACTTGGAGGATGTCCCCAGGCGGTGCTATAGCCTGGGCAACAATGACAGATACCTTGACACAACTGCAGGGCTAAAGGGGAAAAAAATATTCCTGCCCAGCGCCCTTAACAGGAACTTTGTTTATTGAATTCCCCTCACTATAATTGTGTTAGCAAATGGGCAGCAATAGTTTTTCTATGACAGACAGCAACTACTACAAGACATACCCCTACCCATATCACGGCAGGTAGGGAAATGAGGGAGGTTGTATCTGCCTCTTTGTAATCGAACGAATAACAAATGAAAATAGAGCATGGATAATGTTTTGGTCACATTCACTTCGTTGCTTGGTCATTTGGTAAATATTGCAATGAATTACGGGAAATTTGGACAAATTCACATAAAAACAAATGCTCAAGTAGAAAAATATTTTGTAGGTGCTTACCTATCTAAAATTTAACGAATTAATTAATACATTCAGATAATTAGAATTTTTGTGAGGAATTTTTAAAAAGGTTTTGGCTCTTTCATGCTTGCAAAATCAAACAAAAGCTTTCAGCCAGCTCTGTTTATCACTAAATAATCTACTGAGAGATAGCAAAACATCCAATTATGGTAGCTGATTGTTTTGGGATAATTTAAATAATACTTAATGTCTTCACTGACACTCACAAGACAGATTCTCCTAGTTATCTGATAGATAAACACTATAATAATTAGGGATTATAGTACAGGCTAAATGATGACATATATTACTTATGCAAATGTCTAATAATAGCAATGACCTACATCCAAGCCCATCTATTTTTTAATTAGCCTTTTATTGCATCCTCTCTGTTATTTACACTAGGAAGTAGTATTTACAGGCCTGTACAGGCCTTCTTTTAAAAAGATGAAAACATAAATTTCCTTGGTAACCCCCTTCCCTTGTCTCTCTAGTGTATAGAACAAGATTGTTCTGAATGGTTACAAATACAACAAATGTCTTTAAAGCTTTTCAATTCACAAAAAAAAAACAAAAAAAAACGGATAACTCCCTTAAGGCTGACATGAGCCCTAATTCAATTCCCAGTATAGATTAAAAAAAAAATTGTTCTCAAGTATGTTAATCCTAGATTGATTCTAATAAAAGATATAAAGCATCTCTTCATACTGCAGAGGTTAAAGCAAGCTTGTTAAATCCCTTTATTCATTCACAAAGCAAGCGCCAAATCTCATTGTCCTGGAGCGTAGATTTACAATACCACAGCTCTCTCAAGAACATGATTCTTAGCAATTGAGTCCATTGATTTTCACTCACGCTGGAGGGTTCAAAACGGTTACACTATAGGCTAATACCTGAATATGTTCATCTGTAATATACAATGGTAATAAACTAAATGATATGCGTATGCAGGTAAAAATGAATATGCTTGTGAATTGGAATGTTTGTCATACCAATAATATTTTGAAATGGGGAATAATTAACACTAATTAGAACACATAGAAACATGCAGCATTTTTTACTATGTTGATGAAAGAATACAAAATGGCCACACAAGCAGATTGTGGAAGTCTCAATGATTAAAGTCACTGTTCCTATTGTGCCTCTTAAGAACATAAACAAGAAAAAACATTAGATTAGTGCTACATCATGCAAAACAATGCTTCTTGACCCTTTAGCTAGCATCCAAAGCTAGTCTTCAGTGGCACCACATTGGATAAACAGTTTTTTAGTGGCCTGTCATTGGATAACCACACATATCAGATTCATCAAGCCCAAGGCAACTGCTCACAATACATTTTTGCAATACTTGAGTATTCTACAGTGTAATGAAACTCATGTGTGACTACGTAGAGACTAGTGAAGAATTTTGTACAGATTACCACTGAAGAATATTTGATTGAATTAATTTCACAGAAGAAGAATGGATCATAAATCATCTTTTTTTATGCAACACTAGCAATCTGTCTGTTTAAAGGGACACTATTGTCACCAGAACAACTACAGCTTAATATAGTATTCTGGTGAGTATAATCATTCCCTTTAGGCATTTTGATGTAAACACTGCCTTTTCAGAGAAAAGGCAGTGCCTACATTGCCCCGGCATCTCCACTCAGTGAATTTTCCTCATAAAGATGCATTGATTCCAATCTATAAGGAGATGGTGATTGACCAAGCTGGCGTTTGGCCCGCCCCTGACCCCGCCCCTGACCCGCCTCCTTGCCGATCTCTGTCAATACAATAATTTTCCAATGGGAAAGCATTGGATTGGTTAAAAATCATACATTTTGATGTCAGCAAGGAGGCTTGTCAGAGCAGACCCAGGGCAGGCGCTGGAATTAAGGTAAGTTTTATTATTTCATAAGGGGGTTAAGGGGGACAAGCCACCTACATGGAAGTTTTAACACTATAGGGTCAGGAATTCATGTTTGTGTTCCTGACCATATAGTGTTCCTTTAATTTGTGTTTTTGGGACTAATACCCTTTTTCCATTAGACTCTTTCCACTCTCCAGTGCTGCAGACGTGTACCTGATCTAGCAAGTCAATGTAGAGGTTAATACAAAGGAACGTATATTCTGCATATTTTGTATTTATACTGCATATTTTGTAGTGTTAATTATTACACATTTGTTGTTGTTTCTTTATCCGTGTCTTTTGCAAATATCTTTAAATTACTATTTTGGGAAAAGGTCCCTCAATGAACATTAACTAGAAATATATTTTATTAGCCCAAAACCATAATCTGACCATTTACATTTCTTGTGCAGTCCCATGATTTATAATATATTGGTTTATAAACTTTGTGTTATGAAATGAAACAGGATTGAATTGTTTTGCACTGCTTACTTGTGTCATATAAATTAATATAGTACCTATGTGTCAAGAATTTCGAACTTTGTCCTTCCTGATCAAGTTGCACTACATAATTCTCCATCAGCTATTAGGAAATAATTAAGGGATTTGTAGTCCAATAACAGATTTAAGGCCAAGGTTGGGTTCCCCTTTACTTTAGAGCTTGTATTAATCATTCTGAGGTTTGCCAAATGCTTAAAATAATTAGTTATTTTTTAATTTCTAGACTTTGCAATGAGTCCTAGATTAGTATTTTTTGTGCAAAAGGGGGTTTATTGAGGCTAGGTGAAAACAAAATGACAAGTGTTATCAATTCCTTTAAGCAATAATTGATGGTACATTGGGAAAGTGCTGATAGGGCAATCAGCTAGGTGTAATTTCACAGTTCATATAATATGTCCTAGTATTCATCTTCTTCATCTATGCTTTATCTTCTAGCAATTCGCTCGTGAATGGGAAGCCTCCTTCACCTCCCAGCAACGTCTTGCAAATTGAATCTGGTTCAGCACTGACTGTGACTGAAAGCCACCACAGTTTATACTGCATGCTAAATCTTAGAAGCTCATTTTATCCTTGTTCAGAGATGCTTCACTCTGTTATCATCCACACACTGGTATACTATATAACAGCAGTTCTTCATGTTACATTATAACATAAAGCTAAAATGTTGTTTGTGATAAGACCTGTCTCAACTTTAAATGAGCCCTGTCCCCTTTATGAAGAATTTTTAGTTCAAATTGTCAGTTCTATCCTCTTCAGCATTACAATTCCAGCTTCCTGCACTCATATTTGACTCCTGTCCAGTTATCAATATTGTTTTCACCCTATCCTACAATCTATAGCACTGGGTATATATTCACTGACTATACTAGCTATATCAACCTTTTCATTTAAGGTTTGTTTTCTTAAACCTAAATAAAAATCAAAAATGTAAAATAATTTCCCATGTTATTATCACCCTTATTATTATTATTATTATTATACTCTATTATTGGAGCAATACTCTGTAAACGAATGGCAAAACAAACAGTTTTTTCTTCATCCAATCTGATATCTCTCTTTCAGTCGGCACTAATTGTAACATACAGACTAGACTCACTCTTTGTAGTTTTTGCTGTGAAATACTTTAATATCAACTCTGCTATTGAGTTGTCAAGTTGTTATAGATTTCATTGTCTATTTAATACTGATCCCCTACAAAACAAAAATATTGTGTTCCGCCTACAAAGTGCCACGTTCTTACTTCGTCACACTACAAACACTGATGCACATGCTGAAAATGATCTTTTCAGAGAAACTTATCAACGTACTAAAACTTGTTAACCAATTAAACATCTAACACCACAAACACTGGTGTAGCAATTGTATAAACAAACAATAACAAATAAAAATACACAATCAAGCACAAGGGTAATTGGCAACAAATGCGTTTGAGCCGTTCGTTCAAATCAAATTCCTTTTTATCCATGCCCAAATTACTTGATCCATCGCTGTGGAGTCTGATTTAATAAATAAAACTCTACTGGTAAGTCCCAGACATATCAATTAGTTTGGGTTTGCATAAAGAGGAATTGTATTTGAACAAATCAGCACCAACACATTTTTTTCACAAGTCTAGTAATTTTTTTTAAATACAACAGCTTGCTTTCTAGACGGTTATGTAACATCTACATTAAGGTAATAACAAAAACGTATACCTAGTTAACACTAAAGGGCTGGTTTCTGTTAGCTGCATTTACTCTGCTTATTGGATAGCAGTTCTCCCACTGAATTCTACTAGAAAATTGCTATTCTCTGCTAAGACAACCCAGCCATAAGTTTCCTTAAGTAATCTTTTAGAATCATCCTCTAGCTTGAAATGTTTGTCAAGTGGTTCTTTGGTTATTTGAAAATAAAGGTACTACGTGAATTAATATGCAGTACTTTTCATGATCACATAATGCTGCTGTAGGGGAAATAACATTTCTACAGTGCCCTACTGGGCTGTGTTTGGAAGCTTGTACTAATAACAACCATATATCAAAGGTAATGTGCCTCTCCAGATCGGCAGTAAAGTTTGTATAGGAAAACAAAGTTCTTTCATAAAGAGAAATAGTTTTTATGTTCGAGAAACAAGTAGTAAAAATAAAGTGCATGCAGAAAGTTACAGTAATGTATCCATACACAAAGTGTGTTTTTTTTTCTATATTGAAAGAGATCTGTCTTTAGTAAAGGCAGACAAGTGGTAAAGACAAAACTAATTTTTCTTCAAGAGAGTATAGTATTTGAGAGTGGATCTATAGCTTTTCCACTATAACCTTGAATTTAGGTTGTATTACAGTGATCGTTATTAGTTTTATTTTGTACAAACCAAAATGCTGAACAATCCTAGGATAATTTAACAGATATTATTGTATAATATAACTGTTAATGAAGTCCATATGCTGTTCACATTTGTTTTTATTTACCAAGTGTTGGAATTGTGGAGAAGTCACAAAGAAATTGCAAATGGTAGACCCCAATAGTCAAGCTGGGAAAATACAGCAATTGGTGATTTTTCCTACTTCAGTTTTTTTGGTCTATATTTTGAAGATGCACTGTCACCTCCCCACAGTTTAGTGATTAAAGCATTTTAAGTGGTATAACTAAAACAGCCTGCACAACTTGTAGATCTCCAGTTTGTTACCTTTTCAAGCCCTCTCTTTCGTGCCCAGCCCACACTTTCTGTGTCTGTCCAATCACAGACCTCGCAAAGCAGCTCAGTGAGAAGTCTTATCAAGGCAGGTGTTCTGAGCATTTTCCTGCCTCTTAAATTTAGCTCCACTGAGCTAAACAACCATGAAGTAACAGGGCCGGTTGTCTGATTGACAGCCAAGGGGGATGTAACCAGGTTAATATATAAATGTGCCAATTTCTGTAAAATGAAAATAAGAGGACACACTCTTCTCACATAAAGCACTTCAGCAAGCTCAGGTGCATTAGGTGCATCCAGTGTCCCTTTAACATAAATGTGTTGCAATTTATTAAGATTTTTTTAAAGAAGTTTATAAAAACACATTGCCAATTTAGTTAAAATAATTTTCCAACCTTTTAATTTTCTGGTAATTATTAAGCACCATGGACAGCAGTAACTCATAGTTCAGGAGAATGATGGCTGAAATTTGACATTATGACTTCATTTTGAATGGCATGCAAAATTCTACATAAACTTTCTTTTGTGCTATGGGGAGAGTGGTTGGCACACCCACAATGCATTGCAGGTAGCGCATTGTGGATCATATATCATAACTTGCACATAAACATTCAACTAACAGCACATACAATATGATTAGATGTCTACAGACATGAACAAAATATTTTAGAATGCTACAGTTGCTACAAATTTGACAAGCTCAACAATGGTATTGAACACATGGAATTGCATGCTAATTTCCGGTTAGGAGCTAGATTCCTGGAATCAGATTTAACTCATCCTATCCTTTTAGTTAGGAGGAGCCATTGGTCAAACCCAGCCAGAACCGATAGTGACAAAGTACCAGGTGTGCAAATCAAAAAATTCCCTCAATGTATGTTGAGCTTTAATTTATCATGAAGTCTACAATATCTGTTTCCAGCTCAAGTCACTTATTCAAGTCCTACTTGAAGCCCACTGGACCACTAGGGATCAGCATGTCCCTCTCCGTGCAAGATAACAACAGGGAGGTGGGAATCGATGTTTTATTTATGCTTTTAATAATTATTGAATTAACATTTTGTATTAATTAAAATTATTTATTAAAGCCCCATCCACACACACTACAACTCCTATACACATCAAACAAACTTTTCCCACTATACAAACACACAGTATAGCCCTGCACACACTACACCACTGTATAGAAACACTAAACTCCCTATACCTCTATACACACATTACCATCCCTATAAGCATGCACACTACACCCCATATCCCCTATGTGAACACATGTGCAAACACACACTATAGATTCTATGCACAAATAGTACACCACAAACATATCCCTTTTCATGCACATACCATGCCACAAGCAGCTTCCAAAGACATACAACATCACATCCTCCTCACACATGTACAATGCCCTTTACTAGCCCAGTCCTACCTTTGTCCTCTGGTATCCCACTTATGGGGACATCTAAGACAAGTTGTCAGCAAATGCAATGCAAAACTATTATTATGAATTTGTGTGTGCTGCACCAAACACAGGGCATTTTTACCATCAGAGAGTGGTACAGCAGGACTTCGTACATGGGCTGCCCTGGAGAGGCATCACACTAATATATCCTTTTTCTAGACCCACACCTCATATTAAGCTGCTATACCTTTAAATGCCAGGAAGACTTTTTGTCCCTTCATGGCGCTGCTATCATCTTCCGCATCTTCCGATGAAAATCATTATGGCGGTTTGTGCATCTTCAGGTGCCTTAACCATGGGAAATATCGATGTTAACAAAATCACTTTGTACCCATATTTGTAAGGCATGGCAAAAATGGCTACATTTAGCTCATACATTTGTAAGATATATTATTTATGCATGATAGTTGACTTTTAGGTCCTTTTTTAAACAAAAAATATGTTAAAAAAACTTATTACATTTTTAATACTAAATGCCAAATATTAGAATAATGCATATCTGACGTACTGAAAGACAAGTTATTATTTCTCTTTATTGTATTTCTACATTAGATGAGGCAAAGCAAATGCCAAGGTTAGGCTAGTGGAATCGTTTGACTGTTCTATGTATGAAATCATTGTATACTTGTAGCGTGTTATGAGAATATTCAAACTGTGCAGTGCTTTTAATTATTTAGCAATCCTAGCATTTCCTTGGCAGTGTACAGAGCACTTTTAGCATTGCTATGAGACCAGAAAAATATTTCATGATATACACACATTCCTGTATGATGTAGCCTAGTAAAAAGGTACAATTTACTTGGTTGTTTGGATTTATATTGCCAAACCCTGTTCCAAATTCATACACAGTTACAACAGGCACACCACAAATCTCTAGCTAGATTTTATTCTAACATATCTTTTTAACATTGAGTTAGAACAACTTTTAGAGTATATGGTTCACTTACGTGCATTTCAAATGTAAAAGTAAAATAGCCTAATCTCCCGACTCAAAATTCCCATTTCCATGGCACACTCGCCATTGTTAATGCTGAATTTTCTCTTGCCAATTGCTAGTGGGTGAGTGGAAATTTTGATATCAATGGTTTTTGAATGAAAACATTTGACCTACGCCTAGGCTCACCAACCCTTTGGTCACACACTTTGAAAACAGTGGCTTGTTGCTTCTTGTAGAATCATTGCATGTGAAAATGTAATAACACAGTAATGTTTATGAGAAACTAGAAAGCACTATTTTTTAAAAGAATTGCCTACATAATAAATAAAGTGTGCTACATTAATCCTGGAGACTCCTTTTTATCACTGAAACACCAGCATTGTCGTAAAAAAAAATTGGTAGCTCCCTATCTCCGTAATATAAAAAAATGACAGCAAATGTTACACTGATGAGCAAACAACCAGTTTACAAAAATTATAGGAAAGCAGCCAAATAGGAACAAAATATGCATTGCGAAGCATTGACACCTTTGCATCGATTTTTAAAGGTCTTAAGGATGAAGAGCCTCTAAAGGTGAAGAGCCTCATGTTGCATGTTAAATTGTAATTTTGTGTGCTACGTTATCAAACCTATTCTGTTAGTTTGTGTCTATTAAGCCTTACACTATCTTCTATTTAATGTACCCTACACTGAGGAATACATCACAAATGAAAAAGCACAATACAAGTAATAACACAACAGCTGCTTTCTGCTCTAATAAAGCAATGCAGTTAAGGAATGCAG